TAGTTACATAGTTACATAGGCTGAAAAGAGACGTGTCCATTAAGTTCAGCCTTCCTCACAATTGGTTTTTGCTGTTGATCCAAAAGAAGGCAAACCCTACCCCCTCCCCCCCCAGTTTGAAGCACTTCTAAATTTGCAACAAACTAGGAAAGTATGCATCTAGTTGCTGTTTAAACATCTGTACAGACTCTGATAAAAACAACTTCTTCAGGCAGAGAATTCCACATTCTTATTGTTCTTACGGTAAAAAAAAACCCTTTCCTTTGCCTTAGACTAAATCTTCTTTCTTCCAGTCTAAATGCATGACCTTGTGTCCTATGTAATGTCCTATTTGTGAATAGGTTGAGTCTGTCCTAAAATTTAATGTTCTGGGAGAACAGGAAGCAGCTCCATTTTTTGAGTCACCATACACAGCTCAAGGTCAGGGCCCCAGGTCCTGACGGTGAGAATGCCCATAAAGCCCACATTTTTTGAGTCACTATACACAGCTCAAGGTCAGGGCCCCAGGGCCTGACGGTGAGAATGCCCATAAAGCCCACCCATAAGTCCACCTATATGTTCCACCCATGAGTTCGCTCACAGGGAGTGGAGTGTGTAGGGAATGTGTTATGTGTTATTGTAGAGGATCTAATGTGTGTGCTTGTGGAATGTAGTGTAAAGGGATACCAGTTTGTGTAGGTGATGCAGTGTGTTTATGTGTAAGGGATAGAACGCAGTGTGTGTTTGTGTATAAGGGATGTATTGTGTGTGTTCTGGTTGTGTGTAAGGGATACATTGTGTGAATCTGTGTTTGTATGCATAAGGGATGCAAGGTGTGTTTCTGTGTATGTAAGGGATGCAGTGTGTGTCTAAGGGGTGCATTGAGTGTGTGTAAGATATGCATTGTGTTTCTGTGTGTATGTAAGAGAAGCAGTGTGTGTTTGCATGTGTTTGTAGGGATGTATTGTGTGTTTCTGTGTATATATAGGGATGCATTGTGTGTGTGTGCACGTAGTGTAAAAGAGCTCCCTGTCCCGCCCCCTGTCCTATAGAGCTCTCCCTTCCGTCCTTTAGAGCTCTCCCCTGCCCCTTAGTGGTCTCACCTCCCCCCTTCCCTAGCGGTCTTTTCTCACCCCCCTTCTCTGTGTTCTCCATACTCCCCCCCTCTCCCTGTGTTATCCTTACTCCCCCCTCCCTGTGTTATCCTTACTCCACCCCTCCCTGTGTTATCCTTACTCCCCCCTCCCTGTGTTCCTTACTCCCCTCTCCTTGTGTTCTCCTTACCCCCGTGTTCTCCTTACTTCTCCCCTCTCCCTGTGTTATCCTTACTCCCCCCTGCCTGTGTTATCCTTACTCCCCTCCTCCCGGTGTTCTCCTTATTCCCCCTCCCTGTGTTCTCCTTACTCTCCCCCTCTCCTTGTGTTCTCCTTACTCCCCCCTCTCTCCCTGTGTTCTCCTTACTCACCCCTTTTCCTGTGTTCTGCTTACTCCCCCCGTTTGTTCTCCTTACCCCCGTTTGTTCTCTTTACTCCTCCCCATTTGTTCTCCTCACTCCCCCCATTTGTTCTCCTCTCCCGCCCCTGTGTGTTCTCCTCTCTCCCCCATTTGTCCTCCTCACTCCCCCCATTTGTTCTCCTCCACCCCTCCCCTGTTTGTTCTCCCCACTCCCCATCCCCTGTTTCTCCCCGCCCCCCTTCCCCTCCCCTTTCCCCTGTTTGTTCTCTTCACTCCTCCCCCCCCCCGTTTATTCTCCTCACCTCCCCGTCCCTGTAGCATGGCCGAGCTTCTCTCTGGTCCGCAGTACAGGAGCTTCTGTTTTAAAACTGTGGACAGGTGAAGTGAAACTAAAACCACTGTTTAGGTGGTTGGCCTCCTTTACCTCTGGTTACAAAAGTGACTTACTAACTTTTTTCAGTGATCCGTGGGGCTCCTCGTGTCTGACCCTGCTCCTGATCCGCCTTCTTGGCTGACATCATAAGATTTCATGATTTCAGCCAATCCAGTTCTTTCCCATAGGAAAGCATTGGAAGGTTATTGCACATCCTCTTAGAGATGCATTGATTCAACGTATCTCTATGTGGAAAGTTCAGTGTCTTCATGCAGCGCATGGAGATGCTGAACTGCAGGGCTGCACATAGTTTTGTGAACCCATAAAAAAAAAAACATAAAATGTATTGCAAATCCAGGACATACTTGAAAACAAGAGAAATCTCAATGTATCCTTCCTGGTAAAATATTTTATATAAAAGAAAATAATAATAAATAAATAAATAAATGTGCAGCACCATCCGAGTAAGCACCTCTAATTGCCATCTGAGAAGTGGCCACGAGAGGTGTTCCTAGGCTGTAATGTAAACATTGCCTTTTTTCTGGTAAACTGACTGGGTCAGAGCATCTTCAAAATGGCAAGTCTTGTGTGGTGTTCCCGGTATGCAATGGTTAGTACCTACCCAGGGGCGTACCTGGAGCATTTGGCACCCAGGGTGGATCCTTTATTTGGCACCCTCCTCCCCTTAAAAATGTAAAAACACACCTGCAAATGTTTTTAATGTCTTTAGCACTGAGCAGTGTTCTTATTTTTATGTATTTAGCACCAAGCACTTTTTGTGTGTTTGAATGTAAGCTTTGTTTTTGTATGGAGTATGTGTGAGTGAATGTACGGGTGTGTTTGCACGTATTGGCATTTGAATGCTGGAGTGCATTTTTCTGTAGTGTGGTTTTTGAATATGGTGGTGTTAATTTTTTTGTAGTGTTGACATTTGGATGCAGGGTTGTATTTGTGTGTAGTGTAGGTGAAATGCTGAGATGTATGCACATATACATACATACATACTTACATATACACACACTGGCACACATACACAGACACATAGGTACACACATGCAGTTACATTGAAACAGTCATACACAGACAAACACTGGCACATACAGATAGACACACAGATACAAACACACATATAGATAAAAATACGCACACATACAGACACAGAGAGAGACACACAGGCACAGACGCACATACAGATAGAGACACACACATACAGACACATTGATACAAACACAGACACACAAACAGATACACAGACACACAAACAGACACACACTGACACATACAGATACACATATACCAACACACATACAAAACATACCTTCATCATTATTGCATTTCCAACAGCTATCTGATAACTCTGGGAAGAGTCTCTTTAGGCGTTTTGGTGTTAAATACCACCTATTAGCTAGTTTAAATTGAGTTTCTGTGAGGTTTAAGCAATGTATATTTTTATTTAATTTATTTAAGGAATTTATCCATTCTCCTTCTTCTATTTGTACTTGTGGTTCTTTTTCCCATTTGTTGATCAGTGCTATCGGTCTGTCATGTCTCCATCCATATATAGCTTTAGCACATTTTGCCAGTAGGTTTTTGTAATTGTTTAATTCAAGTAGGTTTATGAGATTTGTGGTATTCTCCCCTTTGTTTTTATAGAGGCGTTGTGCTAGGAAGCTCTTGATTCGTAAATAATTAAATGTTTGACTAGAAGGGATGTTGAATTCCTTCATAATTTGGTTGAAGGGTTTAAGATTGTGCCCCTCCAAAATATTTTTAATTCCTTTATCCTCCTTAATGTCCATATTTCTATTTTTATATTTTCTAGCATATCCGATATGCTTGAAAATGGGAGTACGTCTATTATTTTATTATTTGTGAGTTTATCCCACCATCCCGTTAGATCCTTGAGTATCTGAGATTTAGTTCTTGCCTCTCTGATTTTTTGTTTGTCTCCACAACATAGAATAGTGAGGATAAGTTTCCAACCCTGCTTTTTTTCTATTTCATACCATTTTTCTTGAATTGCCGCCTTACTATGTGTGAGCATTATATGGAAAAGGCTACTCGCCTGATAGCACTGCGAAACTTCGGGGCATCCCAAGCCTCCGTCTTGTCTTGATCTGGCCAACAGTTTCATTTTAACTCTTGGTTTCCTACTTGGTTTCCAGATTTATTTTGTATCCTGAAACTTTGGAGTAATTGTTTATACCTTTCAACAGTTCTGGGACGGAGATGTTTGATTCTTCTAGTGTTAATAAGATGTCATCTGCATAAATATTTCATTAGGTTTGTCCTAGCAGAATTCTTTTTTATTCTATCTTATTAAAATCGCTAAGGGTTCTAACACCATTATGTACAGTAAAGGAAAAAGTTTTGTGATGTAAATCCTGAGGTTATTACCTTCGCTGATGGAGAGCTGTAAAGAGTAGATACAGCTTGTGAAATTGGTCCTGTGATTCCAAACTGGTTTAAAGTAGCAAGCATGAAACCCCATCCAACCCTGTCAAACGCTTTCTCTGCATCTATTGACAGAAAGATTAGAGGGGTTCTACTGTTTTCCATCTCTACCCTTATATTTATTATTTTTCTAAGGTTGTTGATTGCAGACCTCCCTAGTATGAATCCAACTCGGTCATTATTGAGTTGTGGTATAACTATTTTTAATCTGTCAGCTAAAATAGAGGATAATATTTTAATATCTGTGTTGATTAATGATATAGGTCTATAGTTACCAATATATTCTAAGTCTTTATCTGATTTTGGGATGGGTACGATGTTTGCTCTCAGCTGCTCTCCAGGGCAATTTCCTGTTTCTATAATATAGTTGAAAATATTAGTGAGTTCCCCTTTTAGTTGGTCTTTCATTAGTTTGTAAAATTTATCTGTAAAGCCATCTGGGCATGGAGCAGTCTTTGTTCTAAGTTTATCTGTAGATTTGCCAACATCTACTTCTGTTATAGGTTGATTCATCAGTTTTGATAGCTACGGTAGTCCTTTTTTATTTTCAATAGCTGTAATTTTTATCAAATGACCTCTAACTACGCTTTTATATGCGCACCAGACCATAATGTCCAGTGCGTTTGTTTTTATTTTCTAAAGAGAAGAGATTTTTTTTTTTTTTTAATTATTTTTTTTATTTATTTTTTTTACATTTTTTATTTTTGCGAGTTTTTGCAAAGAATACAACTTGTCATGTGAATAACTGATAAACAATACATCATAGCTGGTCACACATCACTTGGCTGAACCTACTAAAATTTTGGTTATGGGCTAAGACATCCAGATTCGCCTATGGGCTGCGATGAGGCGTAAGACTTGGGGGGTGCTTGTATTAGGCTTCTTGCGCCTCATGGCTAAATGTTGCTAAAAGGTGCTTGTGGTGAGTAAATGCAGGTGGATAGCCTTCTGTGGCTGGGAAGTAGGGCTTGGTACATTAGCGCTGTAACAGGAGGCTGTGGTTTTGCGTGGGGCGAACAGTTGGTTGTAATAATACAGGAGTATCGCTTGCGCCCTCTGTGTAAAGGGGGGGGAACAAGGAGGCGCAATCTCATAGCTTTATCTAAAGATTACAGAGCCAGTGCCACAGGGTCATGGTATATAATAACAATTAGCATCAAATAGTCATATGTAAAATAAACTGAACAATATGGAACCTTGTGACACAGGTAGATGTCGTCAGAGAGTTCAGGGTGTGAGGTCGGTGGCCACAGGTGCTCCCCTTCTGGGCACGAATGGGGTGATGTCTGCTACATTCCAGGCTGGGTGGCCTGGCACCGGTGACCTCCCCTCTGGCAGGCCCAGGGATTTCAGGAAGGCTGGTGCTTCATTAGGGTGTGATATGGCATATGTCTTGCCCGCTTTATCAGCAAGTAGGCGGCGTGTGCCCCATTTGTATGTGATCGAGTTCTCCTGGAGGAGCTGGGTGATTGATTTAAGTGATCTCCGCCATGTCAGAGTATGCCTTGAAATGTCCCGGTAAAATGCAAGCTGTGCCCCCTCAAAAGATACTGTGGGGGTACCCCTGAATGCTCCCATGATAACCCCACGGTCAGAGTCCTCCACCAGTTTCATTAAGACATCCCTGGGTACCTCTTGGTTTGCGTTGGTTGCTTTGTTCATTCTGAAGCAGGAATCCACCACGAGCTGTTTATACTGTTTGGGCATGAGGAGAGTGGCAAGGAGTCTCCTGCAATAATGAGGGAGCTCTGCTCCTGGGATCGTTTCTGGCACTCCCCTTATCCTCAGGTTGCGTGCCCTGGCCTTGTCCTCTATGCTGGCTATTTGGGCTTGATGGTCAGCACATTGCATCTGCAGCATTGCTATGGCTGTATCTGTAGCTGACTGCGCTAGTTTAGAGCCTTCCATGCTTTCCTCCATTGTATGTACATGAGTTGTGAGGGTGGACACAGCCTCCCGGACTGGTGCCATGTCCGCATTAAACATGGCCTGGATTTCTTTCATTAAGGATTTTATGTCTGCCTTAGTGGATGGGGCTGAGTCTTCCAGTCCTGCATGAGCCTGTGGCCCTAGTCGCCTCCTCGGTGGAGGGGAGAGGTCGGCTGTGCTGCTGTCCTCCTCCGACGACAGTGGTGCATAGGCCTCAGTGCGCACCATCTTGGAGATATCAGGCCGCGCGGTCGTGCGCATAAATGTGCCAATATCTCGGGAACCCGAGCTGGGTCCAAACGCAGTTTTTTGTTTTTCTTCCCCATATCATCGGGGGTTGGGCTGCAGCAGTTGGAGCCTAAATGTGTGAGCAGTGTCGGCTCTTTTCACGATTTACCTGGGCTGAGTCACGGAGCTGTTCCGAGATGCGTCCTGCTCACTCGGGCGCTGGCTCCGCCCCCTCCACATTATTTTTTAAGTCTTTTATGAGCCACTCTCTATGAAAATTATGAAAATGATCTTTATATTCCAGCATGATAGGGCTATGATCCTGTCTCTCAATTTTTTTTACAAGATACAGCAAGGTTGCGTTTCCCAAGATACGATTTATTCTATAGTAAGAATTAAATGTTCCGGAATAACATGTGTAATCTGAGTCTGTTGGATGAAATATTCTCCATATATCCCTTAGGTTATAATTATTCAGTACATTTTGCAATCTGTTCTCATCTTTTCCCCTGTTTTTCCTATCTTTCTGGCTCTTTCTGTCTTTTAGCGGGTCGACTATGCAGTTAAAATCCCCCATAATTAGTACCAAACCTTGTCTGATCTGCTCTATTTTTAAAAAAACTTTGGATATAAATTTTATTGTTGCTTTATTTGGTGCGTAAATATTGGCTAGTGTAAAAAACTTGTTTATTTCACATATTAAGATGATGTATCTCCATTCTGGATCTAGCTCTTGTTATTTAATGATTAAAGAAACATTTTTTGCAAAACTAATTGTGACGCCGTCTTTTTTTTCTTCTAAGGCTGCACTTATAATAGTGGGGTATCCCCCGGGCATTTATAGAGATCAGCTTAATTTATGAGTTCTTTCTGATTTTTGGGACTCTCTCTCGCCAAGTATTAACATATATAAATAAACAACAAAAAAACCTTCTTTATCAGTGTTTACACAAAAAAAAGACTGGTTGATCCAAAACAATGGCATTAACCTAAAACAAGTGTAGTGTATTGCGGCCAACCCCCCGCCATACCGTATCTCTGCAATGGAAGCCATTACTCGGATATAGGTCCCACTTATTGTGTGAAAAGCGCGGTTAGGGTAATCGATCTGAGGTAAGCCTAACTAGAGGTGTTACTCTTAGTGGGGGAGAGGGGAGGGGAGGAGAGGGAAGGAAGAGAAGTTATTTAAGTGTTATGGTCTCATTATTACTTAATATTTCCTTGTTCAATGCTTTTATTATTATTCAACTTATCACTCTTTCCCTTATCTTTAACTTTATTATCTTGCCTCTCTAAGTGTGTGCCTTTCTGTGATTAATTACTTACTTAAGTGAATATCCCATTTCTCTTGATTCATTTCCTTCTTATTATATTGATCTTGGTGTAAGAATATTCCTTCTATTGGTGCCTTAATTTACTTATTAATTGCCTGTTGTTTAATATTTTACTTGTGATCTATGGTTCTTTATTTTTTTTATTTTTTCCTTTTTTTGGTTCACTTCCAAAATAATATACATCTTGTTAATATACCTCTTTGGTCCCCTTATCCCATGTGCCAAAAAAAAAAAAAGTGGAAAACATTACCCAATGACATTCACTGACCCTACAGACAGGATGTGTAGGAGAGTTTTGTTCTTGTCAAGGTGTAAGGGATCGCCAATTACCAATGCCACTCACTCTTTCCTGAGAAAGTGACCTCCAATGTAGAAAAAACAGTGCTATTGGCTTATACCATGTCGATGGAGGTAGGAGGTGGAGTCACTCGCAAAACTCAGCCAGGAAGGGTGAAAACACTACAATATATCTTTTTTTAAATGGGGAGCAGCAGTTGCAGCAAGCATAATTTAATTTAATACATGTATTTTTTTACTTTTTAAAAAAACATTCTAGCCAGATTTTAAGATACATTTATACATTTAGAAACAACTTTGAAGGGAGAGGCGAGTGGCCATACTGGATCTCAGCTAGCAGATGATAACACTGCAAGGAGTAAACCGAAGAGCAAGGTATCCCAAGTTAGATAGATTGAATTGAACTTAAAGCGACTCTCCAGTGCCAGGAAAACAATCCGTTTTCCTGGCACTGCAGGTCCCCTCTCCCTTCCACCCCCCATCCTAGTGACGTACCGGAGTCCAGCGCTGATGTCCCTCTGCGCTGGTTCAGGGTCCGCCCACGCTCCTCCACTGCCAATGTCATCCAGCGGGGAGACCTATTGCGCATGCATGGCCAGCGATGGGCGAGACCTAATGCCCATGCGCGGCAATGTGTTGTGTGCCACTTCCACCACAATCCTACATATAGGGAAGCTAGCAGTAGATCAGGGCAATTAGCAACTTATGTGGGAGTTTGCTGCCAGGAACAATTTCCTTTCTTTTTCAGAAAGACATCCATCTTGTTTATAAGGTGGTTGAACAAGGGATGACCATCTCCAACTGGCATTACTGTGGCTAAATGTTTCTGTCACATCCCTGATGGCACTGACAAAGTTTCTGCTGAGCTTTCCTTTAGTTGTTCCTTGTGCGGGCTACAAGAAATAGGAGTAACTCTGGCAATGGCAACATGTCCACTGGATTCACCCATCCCGTATTTTAACCAATATGAAACACAAAAGCTGAACAAATTTTTCTAGAGCCAACATATTCTGCAGTTGCTTTACAATATCATGAAGGGGGGATTTAACAACAATTAAGAGAAACTATTACACATTTTACAGCGAAATTTAACATGCTGTTAGATAGATACATCTTTTTTTTTTTTAATACACATATCCAGTGAGATATTGCGTGTTTGCATTGTTTACATTATCTTGAAATTCAGCTCCACATCCTTGGGCTTCATTTTGTTTTCTGTGGAAATATAACAGTCTTTATTTACACAATTTAACATTTTTGTTTAAGCAACTATACTTGGATATATACTTATTCAAGCATTTCTGTCATGATATGCAACATATAGAACAGGTGCCACTATAGTTTATCTAGTTGATAATACACATAATTAATTTTCTTAAAGAAACAAACATTGTGTATATATATATATATATATATCCCTTCCCTTGCAGTAGTGGGAGCAGTGTTAAAGTGAGAGTTCTGTGGGAAAAGCAAGTCTTATGGCTTGACTGGTGTGTGTATTTGTGTTTAACAATGTATTAACTATCCACTTATTTCAGGTGGAAGGGGTTTTCATCCACACTCCTCCCCCCCCCCACAACTCTTTAGGTATGTACTTTACAAGTAACTTCAATCCTCCATAGCAAGCCAGGAACCAACCTCATGCTGATGAGTTGCATTAAGAACGAAACAGCTGTCCATGAGTGGTTCTCTGGCTTTGCTCCTCTTCTTGAGTTGCGTTCCAAAGATGTTGTATGCCACAGACACATACTTCAAGGAATCCACGTATAAGGTGGAATTATGAGGCAAAATGTGGTTCTTTATTGAGCTTATTTGCATATTCATACCCAGAATTCCTTACAGTAGTGAGAGCACTGTTAAAGTGAGATTTCTGTGGGAAAAACAAGTCTTATGGCTTGACTGGTGTGTGTATTTGTGTTTAGCAATGTATTAACAATGTATTAACTCTCTCTCTTTCTCTATCTGTCTATCTATCTATCTATCTATCTACATATATATGTCCAGGCTCTGGCATTCAACCCCCAAAAATATATAAAAGTGAAGCTATACCCGGGTGCTTCCCTACAGGGAGTGGAGACAGCAGGTCTCACTCCACAGCGGCAGGGTGAGTTCCAGGGAGGGGAGACAACTGGTCTCTCTCCCCAGCAGCAGTGTGTCCTGCAGGGAGAGGAAGCAGCCGGCCTCTCTCCCCAGCGGCAGTGTCCCCTACAGGGAGTGGAGACAGCCGGTCTCACTCCCCAGCGGCAGGGTTAGTTCCAGGGAGAGGAGACAACTGGTCTCTTTCTCCAGCAGCAGTGTGTTCTGCAGGGAGAGGAGGCAGCCAGTCTCTCTCCCCAGCGGCAGTGTTCCCTACAGGGAGTGGAGGTAATCGGCCTTGCTCCCCAGTGGCAGAGTGAGTCCCAGGAAGAGGAGACAACCGGTCTCTCTCCCCAGCAGCAGTGTGTTCTGCAGAGAGAGGAGGCCAGCACCCTTTCTCCCCAGCAGCAGCTTATCCTACCAAGGGGAGACATCAATCTCCCAGACAGTGCAGATGGGACAGTGGTCTCTGTTCCTGACCCACAGGGATTTCTGGACAGCCTGTCCAGATCCCCAGCTACCATCGCCTGCGTACCCGGAGGATGGGGTAAGTGATGTCTCTTCTCCCCAGCCAAGTCCCCACCAGGCTACCCCAGCAGAAGCGCTGGCATCGGGGCAGAGCGCAGCTGACCTCTGTCCCCCAAGTCCCCACAGCGTGTTGCCCCATCACCCCAGAGGAATGCCCAGGTGCAGCAACAGTTTGTTGTGGGTGGGCTGCTCTTGTAACTGTTTATTGTGGGTGGGCTACTCTGGCACTTGCTTATTGTGGGTGGGTGGATCGACTAACGTAGGCACTGACCGACAGAAAGTCAGGTGCCTGGTTAGTCTTCCCCAAAAAGGGGAGATATGTGACAAACTGTAGAGGACTGGTTGCCCGCCTGCTGCCTTTAGACTATGACCCCATGTTGAAATGCTTGATTTTCCCCTGCAAAGACATGAAAGCTGGGTCATTCGGTACTTGCCCTATTTGAACAGATAGCTATGCCATGGAGCCCATTCGTATAATGAAAGACTATGTGAAAGACTTTGGCTCCATGGAAATTGAACTGTATGTATGTGATCTGAGCGCCATTCAGTAATAATGTGCGCTCAGATCTAAGCTATCTGGGGATATTTTGAATGTACCTGTTTTATGCAATAGCTGCACAGTTATATATTTTTATGTATTTTATTGTATTTTGCTACCATGTGTTCAATGGAGTTTTGCCTCTGTCCTTGGAGATAATTGGATTACTTCCCAATTATATCCAGGACAAAAGACTCTGTGCAACTGGTTTTGGGCAGAAAAGCAATGCTTCATTTGGTCACAAAGGACTTCGATCTATCTTTTGATCTACTGGACGGATTTTTATGATTTTTGAGTATATTTATATTTGAAGGACGCTGATTTCAAATATGTAACTATTATTAATATTGTATGCATACTTTTAAAGTTATAAGAATTGTGTAAAAACTGTATATTTTCTGCCTCTGATGATGAAGTTAATCTATTGTCTTGAGATAATTGTATCACAGGCAGAGGGGAGGATTTCTGCTGAGAGTGGTTTACTTTATTGCATGTAATGTTTTTATTGGTTGTTCAGAAAAACCCTGTGGGCGGTCCTGTATGTGTAAGACCTCCATAAAAGAAGGCCCTTTGGTACTAATTAAACAAAGATCTTCTTGACCCTCAACACGTAGTCTTGTCTCGTGATTGGAGGGAACTGCTATAATCACACTGGGGATTGCTATGCTCTGCATACTCACTTGAGCTTTAAATCACTTAGCTCTTTTAAGAGCTTGTTCCTGATACGCTCTCCTAGAGGAGAGGTCTTCCCCACTCAGTCCTGGACGACAGAAGCTAATCCAGGGTGGAATGAAGACAACGAGACTCCAGTTAAGCTACGGCGGTTGTGAAGTCTGCGGTGGTTGTGGTGTCCGGTGCGGTGCTTGTGGTCCTCGGCGCAGGCTAGGAAGCGTCCATCAACAGAATGTACTCAGTCGGAGTACGGGGAGTTCCGTTACAGTGTTCATTTCTGGATCTCCTGGCTTTCCACTCCATTATGGAAGTCATAAGAAAGTCATTTTTCAACAAAGGGGCTACTAAATCAATGTTTTAATAATGAATAAGTTTGACAGTGTCATTACGGGTTCACTGTAATGCATGTCAGTTCCTAAACCAATGAGTATATAATGTATCAAGGTGATTATTATTACTATTATTACTGGTATTTATATAGCGCCAGCATATTCCGTAGCTCTTTACAATATTATCGAAGGGGGAGATTTAACAATAAATGAGACAATTACAAAAACTTACAGTAATAATATGTTGAAGAGGGCCCTGCTCAAATGAGTTTACATTCTATAGGATGAATATATTAAAAGGATCACTATAGTGTCAGGAAAACAAACCCGTGCCCCCACCCATAGGGTTCCCCTCCCTTGGTGGTAAAGGTGTTAAACCCCCTTCAGCAGCTTACCGTGACCTCTCCTCCCCCGCCGATGTCAGCTCCCGAGTGGAGCGGAATGTGCATGCACGGCTAGTCCCGCACATGCATTCAAACAGTCCATAGGAAAACATTTCTCAATGCTTTCCTATGGACGTTCTGCACGCTGGATGCAAATTTTGCATCCAGCGTCGCAGATGCGCCTCTAGCAGCTGTCAGGAAGACAGCCACAAGAGGTTGGATTAACCCTGCTAAGTAAACATAGCAGTTTCTGTGCAACTGCTATGTTTACATCTGAAGGGTTAAAACCTGAGGGACCCGGCACCCAGACCACTTCATTGAGCTGAAGTGGTCTGGGTGACTATAGTGTCCCTTTAATTACTGCTATGGTAATACTTACCTCTTATCCAGTGATTGAAATTGCATTACACCCTTCCATCTTCCTCCAGTATGACTGACCTTGCTTATGAACAATTATCTCTACTAACAACAACAACAAAATTCTGTGCTAATGTAATTCTTCATGTAGTGTCATTTCTGTGTCAGTAGCATGTGAATTAATAATATATGTATTCCATATGTGAATGCTCAGTTTGAAGCATGTGTAGTGTATTTAAGTTAAGTATAGTGTGTAAATTATCTAGGTGTGTAGCATGTGAATGGTGTGCATAATGTGTGGATACAGAATGTGCATGCAGACAGCTGGTATGAATGCAGTATGTGAATGCAGAATCCTCATGTATTGATTTTGGTGTATATGTGCTGCCTCTTTTGCATATTTTCTACTCACTTCTTGCCACTTTTTAAATTTTTCTTCAACTCGATCCAAAAACGCAGTGTGCACTCCTCTCTGTCTTCTATATCTCTGATAACAAAAAAAAAAAAAAAAACAGTTTTACATTATGATGCAAAATTGGAATCTCACAGTTTAGCCATGTTGTTCCATTTAAGGGAATTGATAAACATTCTATCCTTTGTTACAATGAACAAACAGCTTAAAGTATGTTTTTCAGGAGATCACAAAGAAAATAATATTTATTTGCGCACATATGTGAATAAATTATGATTCAAAAATTCAGAAAATTTTGAAGAACTGAATGTAAAAATTGCTCATTGTAGATCTGATGCGCAACAAAATAGTCAAAGAAATAACATTTTAGTGTTTTTAATTTTCAAAAATCAAAATTTACTGCATCTGGTTTTCCAAATAGAAACCTATGGGAAGTGCAATAAATTGTACTACCCAATCGTCAACGAAAAGGTTGAGTGTGTGATAAAGCATTATTTACTTCTGATTAGTTTGTGGGTGAAAAACTGCCTGTTAACTTAACAATAACTTAACCTGCTTCTATTATAACTGAATATCCTTTGGCTGTACAATGCAATAAATAATACAATATAATAAATAATACAAAATAGAAATTAATATAATAAATAGAATGATACAAACTGTAAATGATGCAGACTTGGGTGGCCATGGAGTCTTGGGGAGAATGAGAGCCGAGTCCCACGCCAGATCCTCAGGTCTGTGAGTTATAAAGATGTTGTTGTTTGATTTATAAATCTTCTCTTGTAAAGGCTGAATTCCATAAACTGAAAACACATATAATAATAACTATATAAAACTAATATTCCACTCAGGAATGTATTCGTAAAATCACATCAGTGTTCCAGTTCCTTTTTGTTGGTAAACACATATCATCACTGCATTAATCCACTACTGTGAACATGTTTTCCTCCCTGGATGCATTATTGTTAGATCCAGGACAGAACTGGGAGAAAAATTTAGTTGGGGCATTTTTGCAGCACTGAGGCCCACTGAGAAGGGGGCGGGGCCAGATAGAGCGTGTTTTCTCATCATCAATGAAAAGCATGCCCCCTCTCAAAGTGAGCTTGTTAGTTCCATGTGCAGAACCCTGCTGAAGAGCATAAGGAGCTTGGTACTATCCTTGATTTGATTACATGTATCACCATGTGTTGGGATATGAGATCTCTTGAGGGTTAATTATACTATTGGAGATTTCTTATTAATTGATAAGCGCCACAGTATTGGTGGATTATGTATTTTCCTCTATATTTTATTAGAATTTATCTATAGGACGATCTAAATTTACCACAGACGCTAATTTCCTCAGTTTTTTGTCTATTTAAATATAGCCCCTGCTCACCTAATGGTTTAGCTGCCTGTTAATAAGCATATACATCTATAGCCAAAACTAATATATCTAATCTCATGGTCTAATTTTGATACTTGTATCTCTTTTATTTAAATGAAATACTTAAACCTGTTGTTACACTGTTTATGTCTTTGAGATACAGATACAATATACTAACTAACTATATTTCTACAGGCTTATCTGAAACATAATTTCAATTTCAATTGAGTTTAGTGTTCTTATACATAGCCTTTAAGCCCTCATTCCTTTTTAATTGATTCTTGATTAATTAATTTAATTCGCACTGGTTTGCACATTTTCTTTTTGTGTACTTATTTTGTTGTCTGTGTGTGTTGGTTCTCATTATTAATAAAGTTTATTCAAATTTTTGATTATTACTTAAAAATTATGTTTTAAATGTAGGGAATTCCAATGGGGGCAGATCTTCTCCTCTTATAGGGGGGATCCTGGCCTCATTAGTTCTTTTTTTTTTGTATTTAGCATTTCTTGGGTTATGCCCATATTAAGTCTGTAACCCATTTTTAGCAGCATAGGGGCTATGTATTTCTTTCCCTCCTGAAAAGCTCTTGCATGAGAAAAAGGCCCTGTATTTGTTCAGAGCAGCACAAACAAATGTATTAACAAGCTTGCGCTTTGTTTGCTTGTGACATGTCTCTAGTGTCTCCATAAGTGGGATACCATAGGACAAAAGTGCCTGGAAAGAATATTGTGCATGTCTTTAAATCCTGCTTGTGGGATTGCATGTGTAGAGCGAGTTGATTGTGGTGTGGTGTTTTGTGTAAATAGGTTGATTTCTAGTGTGTGCATAGGGGATTCAGACTGTGTTTGTCAGGAATGTAATGTGTGTGTAAGTGGTGCAGTGTGTGTGAGGGCATGCAGTGTTTGTGTGAGGGATGCAGTGTGTACTTTTTAGGGGTTTTACTGTGTGTGTGAGGGGTGCAGTGTGTGGGGAGGGTGACACTGCGTGGGAGGAGGGTGACAGTGTGTGTCAGTGTGTGGGGGGTGACTTGGTATGGGAGGAGGGTGACAGTGTGTGTGTGTGGGTTGACAGTGTGACAGCGTGAGGGAGAAGAGTGACAGTGTGGTTGTGTGGGATGTGACAGTGTATAGGAGGAGTGCAGCATGTGCATGGAAGGGGTGGTGACAGTGTGTGGAAGGAGGGTGATAGAGAGCGTGTGTGTGAAGGGTGCAGAGTGTGTGTGGGGAGAGAGGGTGACAGTGTGGGGGGGGTGACAGTGTGTAGGAGGGGTACAGTGTGTGTTTGTGGCTGGGGTGGTGACAGTGTGTGGGAGAAGGGGGACAGAGTCCCCGTGTGGGGTGCAGTGTGTGTGAGGGGTGACAGTGTGTGGGGTGCCAGTGTGCGTGGGGGGGTGACAGTGTATGGGAAGAGGGCGACAGTGTGTGTGGGAGTAGGTTGACAGTATGAGTGGGAGGAGAGTGACAGTGTGAGGGAGGAGGGTGCCAGTGTGTGTGTGTGTGTGTGTGTGTGTGTGACACAGTGTGACTGTATGACTGTATGGGGAGGTTACAGTATGAAGGAGGGGTGCAGTGTGTATGTGGAGGGGGTGATGGAGGAGGGTGTGGGAGGAGGGTGACAGAGTGCGTGTGTGTGAAGGGTGCAGTGTGTGTGTGTGGTTACAGTATGAAGGAGGGGTGCAGTGTGTATGTGGAGGGGGTGATGGAGGAGGGTGTGGGAGGAGGGTGACAGAGTGCGTGTGTGTGAAGGGTGCAGTGTGTGTGTGGGGGGAGAGAGTGTGATAGTGTGGGGGTGACAGTGTGTAGGAGGGGTACAGTGTGTGGGTTTTTTTGGGGGGTGACAGTGTGTGGGAGGAGAGTGACAGTGTCCCCATGTGGGGTGACAGTGTGTGTGAGGGGTGCAGGTTGAGGTGGTGACAGTGAGTGGGAGGAGGGCGACAGTGTGTGTGGGAGGAAGTGACAGTGTGTGTGACAGGTGCAGTGTGTGGGGTGATGACAGTGTGTGGGAGGAGCAGGGGTGTCTGTGGGGGGGTGACATTGTGTTTGAAGGGTGATAATGTGTGTGTGTGGGGTTGTGAAGGTGTATGGGAGGAGGGTGACAGTACGTGTCTGTTGTGCAGTGTGTGCGTATTGAGACGTATTATGGGTGGAAGGGGGGGCAGAGTAAGTCAATATATGTATTTTTATATTAAAAAATATACTTGCAAGATCGGAGCATTGCCATGGTAACCGCGACAATATTACAACCTCGCAAAAGGAATAACCCGGGCGGAGCTGCAAGCTAGAGCTCTCTCGGGTCTCCTCTCTCCTTTCACATGCCGCCTGCTGCATATCACTGCCTGTGGGCCGGTGAGGGAGATCTCCCCACTGGCCCACAATAACACACAGCAGAGCTGGCTCTTGGATAGCGCCAGCCTTGCATGGACCAGCAGGGAAGCTCCCACGATCTCCCCTGCCGCCGATTTGCCCGATGGTCAATCCAGATCTGGTTAGATCTATTTACAACTGAGAAATGACAGTGTGTGTCTGTCAGTGAGAAAGTGTGTCAGTGTGTCTCAGCCAGTGTTTGTTAGTGTGTGTCTGTCAGTGAGTGAGTTTTTCTGTCAGTGTGTGTGTCTGTCAGTGAGTGTGTGTCCTTCGGTTAGAATGTGTGCCTCTGTCAGTGAGTGCGTGTCACCTGTTTTGAGACTGGAGAAGTCATTATAAGTTGCATTTTAAGTTGAATTTGGGGAAATAATATAAAGCATTCGTTGTGCTGAGCTATTTAAATTGCTTTTGTTTGATTTGTTCATTGCAAACAGCTGAAAGTCTGACAATAAACCTGATTTTCAATGGGGATTGAATAATTTTGATTACAACTGTACATTTTAATTTAAAGCTCTATGAAAATATGGTCCCTCCTCTGCCTGTCAATGAAATTCACAACATTAGATCTGTGTGCAAGTGGCACACAGGGTCTGATGCCAAAGATTGAGTGACAGGTGGTTTTCTTGCTCCCTGTTACTGTGTTACTACCCGAGCAGGCGCTTTCTGGGGTAGTATGTGATGCACTTACTCCAATGTGCTGGTTGTGAAGCCAGCACATAAGCGTCAGCATTGGGAATTGCCAGACTTAGGGATGTGACCCAAACCAGGGCCAATCAGTCCACACGCACATTCAGCCAAACAACTTATGCAATCACACTCAGCCAGTCAGACATATACACACAATCGCTCTCCGCCAATGCCATACATACATATCACACTCCGACAACCAACACAATCACACTCAGCCAAGACCCATACAGAATTACACTCAACCAAAGCACGCCCAATTATATTAGGCCACCACACACATCTTACTCACGTGTATTGCTTATGGGAGCAATAAGGGGTGCTAATGTGGTCTTGCACCGGGGCCCTGTGATTTCTACTTACGCCCCTGCAAAGTAATTCAGGCTATTTCACTGGAACTATTGTACATATTTGAAATCAATTTGAGATATATTGATGGAGATACTGTAATAATTAAGATTTTAGTAAGTAGGGAAATGTGAATCCATTTATTACCTCAAAACAGAATGCACGTGTCATGGTTGATTATATATTTCCTGCCTGTTCTATGTTAAATTTTGTATATATTGTGTATTAATATTGTTTTTGTATTTTGTTGTATCTAATGTAACATTGCAATGATTTGTGGACCCAGGACATACTTGAAAACGAGAGAAATCTCAATGTATCTTTCCTGGTAAAATATTTTATAAATAAATAATTATGGGTCAAGTCTATGCTTCTCTTGCTAGTTTTTCTTTAATCTTTGTTTAAATACAATAATAGTAATTGCATTAGTAGAATATACAGCCAAGGCATGTTGTTTGAAGCTGTTAAACTGCGATTAATCTGTGTGATAAAAATGATTAGATTTGACTTGCCCTCTGAGTGTTTTCTGTACGATTCTAATAAGAGACTGTGTGATTTTATATTCTTGTTATCTTTGTATCCCGTCTAAAGGCTAACGAAGTACAATGTCACATCATCTTGGCAGATTATAAATCTACGAACTTTGTTCATTTAAAATCTTCTGATTTTTCAACTGCATAAAAACACGTTTAACCCCTTCACTGCTATGTTATTATACAACCGTTCCTCCCCTCCCAATAAACACAAACTATAATAAAGTATACATTTTATTATAAAGAAACTCTGGCATTGACACCTCCTTTGAATTATGGATATAATTGGAATACATTATGGATTCTGGAACTACCTTCAATGCCTATAGTCTAAGTATTAAAACTACTTAATCTTCATGTAGTGGTTTTGGTGCATAGATGCTGCCCATTTTCTATCTGACAATGTGTAAAAACTGCTGTTTCTGAGAAACAGCAATGTTTATATTTGTCATGGAATTCACTTTTAGTGGCAGTCAGATACAGCATTTTTATGCTGAATGCATCCAATTCTTCTTATAGTGAAGCAATGGATTCAATGCACATCTCAGTATAGGCGTGCGCAGACTATTGCATTAGGTTGTGCACCCTAAAGCACAAACACAACCGCCACGTGTATATGTATGTGAATAGGTATATATATTTATACACACACACATATACACAAACATACATACATACATGCACTGCTGTGTGTGTGAGGGTGCTGTTAGTGTGCTGTGTGTGAGGGAGCTGTGTGTGTGAGAGAGAGTGCTGGTAGTGTGCTGTGAGGGTGCTGTGTGTATGTCTGAGAGTGCTGTGTGTGTGTGTGTGAGGGTGCTGTGTGTGTGTGTGTGAGGGTGCTGTGTGTGTGAGGATGTTTTTAGTGCGCTGTGTGTGAGGGTGCTGTTAGTGTGCTGTGTGTGTGAGGGTGCTGTGTGCTGTGTGTGTGTGTGTGTGTGAGGGTGCTGTGTGTGTGAATTTGTTTGGAGTGATTGTGTGTGAGGGTGGGGAGGACAGATTAGGAAATAGCCCCCCTCCCTTCTTACCTTTTGCCTGGGAGGGGGGATCCTTGCTGCCATCCCTGGTGGTCCAGGGCTAGAGTTCACTCTTGCGAGATCTAAATGTTGCTGTGGCAATGCTCTGACCTTGCGAGAGGAACCCAGCGGAGCTGCTGGTTAGAGCTTCCGGGTCCTCTCCTGTCTGTGGGCCGGTGAGGGAGATCTTTGATCTCCGCAAAGACCCATAGAGGCAAACAGCAAGGCAGGCGCTCGAATAGCGCCGGCTCTGCATGGACCAACATGGGAGATTCTGTGATCTCCCCTGCTGGCCTCGATCCATGCGCGGGCATTAGGGTGTGCCCAGGCACACCTGGCACAGCCTGTGCGCATGCCTATGCATCTCGGTGATTGTCTTGTATGCCCCTATGCCCTCACTGCTTCTCTAAAAGAAGCACTCAGCTGAACAAAAGTCATCTTCACCCAAGGAGCGGCAGCAGAGAGAAGACTTTATCAATGGAATACTGGAACATTTTATGTCATATATATTTTTTTTGTTTTTTTTCTTTAAAACATGGGGGGTTGGTAATTAGAACACGTTAATTAACACTTTAAATTTAAAGTGCATTCAAATACATCTATGCAAGCAAACAAGCAAAAATACCAAAATACTACTCTGCCCTCATTTACAATTGCAATACTCAAAGACCCCACTTACATACTAACCCTTTATACACGTTCAAATCAACATTCGCATATGCATAGTTATTTAGTAAAGTGAGAATTGTTGGGAACTCCAAGTGAATTTCAAGTGAATTTAAAATGTAAAGTGTTAGTCCAAGCACCATGACCACTTCAGTCGCTTTGAAGAACTGCACATACAGCGTTTAACCTCTCTGCTTGCTGGAGTTATAACTCCAACTCCAACTGCATCATTAGGTCGTCACCAGCCAACCTGGAACAAGAGTTGGCTAGTGTCAATTATGTGCAAATCATTTTTCCACAGTGTGTCATACATTGGCTGATGCTCTCAGCCAATGACTGGAGACTGGATTGGCTTCCGGTTTCTGCTGCTCTGCAAAATCTGAGAAGAAAGTTGACTTGGAGCCTGGCAGGGACCCAGGTAAGAGGCCAAAGCATCACTATACTCTTTGCGCCATTACTGGGGAACCATGCAAGGAAACTCCTGGCACCATAACCACTACAGGAAGCTGTATTATGCTTGGAAAGCTTGCAAATCACTTTAAAATCTATTTGAATTCCTGGCAATGCTCACTTCAGTAAATAACCTTGACAGAATTGCAATATACTAAGCCATATATAAATGCAGGTATTCCACACAAGTACTCAGATAAGGCATTCGCAGATACTGACAGTCTGGCCCAAATAGGGCATCAGGGAATACAGGTAAATTCCTGGTGAACCACAATGATCACGCACAAAGGACCTACTGAGAAGATCAGTGGATCACCTTTTAGTGAATAGACCACGAAAGACCGGGACTGAATATTAAATTATAGAGAGAATGCATGCATTATTTTCAAGAAGCCATGTAGGAGACTGCCATAAATTCTCTATATTTTCATAAACAGTAAAGATAAGCAAATGATTATAGAAACCATATAACTGGAATTCTTTTTCAAGTGCAAGTTATAAAATGTAAGTTACCACTGGATTTATCTCTTTATGGTATGAGAAACATTATTATGTAATACATTTTTAACCACACACCACACTATAACTTGGTTTCTAATTAATGCAAACTCCATAAAAACTGTAAAGAACAATATATAAATACCTCTAAATCTTTGTGCATAGGTGCACACTGGCTTGTGCACATGAACGTCTGATTTGAGGTCTGTGAAGGAGCTGTTGTGAGGTCTCAAGATCTCAAGATGCTGGTTTGATGTCTGTGAGAGAGGAGCAGGTGCGCTCTAGTACAGCGTGCAGTGGTGTATTCTGGATTTGTGCTGCTCTAAGCAAAACTAAATTCGGGCACCTCCTAGTCTAAATTTGCCCCACCACTTTGTGTCAAGGCCACTTTTTTGACTGACAGATGCACGCCCTCATTGACACATGCACTGACATACACTCACTGACAGATACAGTCATTGGCACACACATATAGTCATTGGCACACACTGTTTAAACAACCCACACTTTCACTGATAGACACACACTGAGAGGCACACACTCTCAGATACACATACACTGACATACACTCAGTGACAGGCACACACTCTCAGATACATACACTGACATACAGTCACTGACACAAACATCCTCACTGATTTAACACACTCTGAAAGACCCACTCACTGACACACACACACATACACACACAAACACTCACTGACAGACAGACACACACACACACACACTGACAGACACACACACACACTTATTCACACATTCACTGACAGCCACACACACACACACTGACTGACACACACACACACACACTTTCTCATACACTCATCAATTTTTATTTTTATTTTTTAATCCACCTAGCCTCCCTTTGGGAGATTTGGAGTGGATCCTGTCCCTGACTAAATCTGGGCTGGCTGGGTGGGCTCCTTGCTGGGGTTGCTGGCTTCTGCTGGCTCGACTGGCTGGATGGACGGGCAAGTGCTCAATAGAGGTGGTGAGGGAACTGAGCTCTTCTTGCTCTGCTCCATCGTGCACCGCCGGAGTGATGTCATGTTCCAGCTCCCGGCATCATAGAAGGGTGTGCGAGGGAGCAGAGCAGGAAGAGCTCAGAGGACTCCGCTCCCTCACCACCTACCTACACTATGAGAAGCTGAACACCTTGGGGGGCCCTAGGGTGGCCAGTGGGCCACCTCTTGGGCCCTCCAGAATATGAAGCAAACAAGGCAAATACAGCTCTGAGAGCGTGCCTGTCCCTTTTGTTAGGTCAGGGGAGCTAATGGAGCTAAATCTCCCTGGATATTTGACTGACAGCCAAAGGGGTGCTCCATAGTTTTTTTATTAAATGCAGATTTTTTTTTATTGAAATCAGCACTTTTATAAACTGGGGTAAAAATAGGGTACTCCTCACCCACAAAGTATTTCAGCAAGCTGAAGTGTTTTGTGGATGTGGAGTGGCCCTTGAAAGACAAAATTGCTGAACTGGAAAGATGCTCCAAGTTAATTGTGATTCCAGTTTGACTATTTTGGTCTAAATTTGTTCAAAGAAAACCCATATACACCTTGTATCCTGGATCATTTCCCAAGCTACAACAAAACATCTAAGCGTAATTAATACATAGAATACATTATTGTACGTATAAATATTTACTTACCACAGCTTAAATGTTGAGATTTAAATTGTAAGTTCAAAGGATCGTGATAATAACTTGTAACAAAATCAGGAATACCGACTTCATACTGGTAAAAAACAGAAAATCAGACACTTTATTAATAAAGCACATTAGAGTAAAAAAGAACATATTTATAAACTGTCCTGTTGACCTTCAAAGCCTTAAACAATCAAGGCCCACAGTACCTGAAAGAGCACCTAAAACCCATTCTCTTCGGTCAGCCAGCAAATCCCTCCTGTCAGTACCAAGAATAAAGACAGACTCAGGTTCCAGGGCACTCAGCCACGCTGCCCCTACCTTCTGGAACTCTTTACTGTGTGCAATCAGTGAGGAACTGTCCTAAAAGACTTCTTTAAAAAAGCTAAAGACCCACCTCTTCCATCAGGCATTCTGTCCACTCATCTGACCTTCAGGAACTCCTAACTTTTATGTCTTTTTGTTTGTTCATTTGTAAAGTGTTTTAAGTCTCACAGGGAGAAAACACGCTATAAAAATCGCAAATTATTATTATTATTATTATATTTATAAAGATAAATGTGGAAAACAGTCCCTCTTCATATTTACTTCACGGACCACAACAAAACAGAAGAAAGAAAGGAACCGTTAAAGTGATAACTCATACATATAGGTCAACAGGCTTTAAAATATAAAATAAATAAAAAATATAGCTTTTTACAATATTCGGAGGCATGAAGAGTAGAGTGGGTTGTTCTCCTCTACAGGTAGGTGCCGGAGTCGATGCAAACCACGAGCGCATGGAAGTTGTATTCGTGGTTTTGTAAAAAACCAAAACCAAAAAAACCAAAGGTCAACACGTGTGTGTACCTGGCGAATGCTTCCACTCTGAGGCCAACTCCCAGATAACAGACCTCCTTTTATTGACCAAAAAACAAGTTGTGTGGTGTGAGATTTTAGCCTAATTGTGTGTAAAGACAATTTTACACATTTCTGTTATATATATGCAACTACTTTTGTGAGTGTGTCCTTTTTATTTATTTTCTGTGTAATAAACCATACATATTACTCTATAGGTTGTTTTTGTTTTCTCCCTTGCTTTGTATCTGAGATCCATGCATATGTGATAGTTGCAGGATTGGTAATTGTATATTTATTTATTTATAGTTATTTGTTCAATGTCACTGGTGTCTGGCGCCCTCTAGTGTATTTAGAACTGAATACATATTTAATTTTATTTATAGTTTTGTGATCATTTACCTAAGCCTCAGACCAAGTTTTGTACAGTCAAAGAAGTAAATATAATGTACTACTTTGATATCAATAGGATACATGTTAACAAAAAATGCTGCAGTTATAAGCAATTTTGTTCAAGAAGAAAGCACAGGGGACCTCCATGCCCATAACTTAGCATTGCTCTTGTGCTTGGGATGTACCTTGTGACAAAGTGCCCTTCACCACTTGGTCCTGGAGAGGCTTGCTTGCCAGCCTCCTCCCCTGTGACTATGGCCCTGGGGTGTGTGGCCCTTTAAAAATGCTATTTGGGCCTAAGGACTTGTATTGGCCTGTGTATGTCCCTTTAAGAACTGTATTGGGGCTTATGGACTTTTATGGGCCCTTTAAGCCCATTTTTGGGACATGGGGAAATTGTGACAATGCCCCTATAAGACTGTGTCCCCAGACGTGTTTGGGACACTGCCCCTTTAAGAGGTCAGCGGTATGTGTAGCCAAATCCATGGAACTGAAATCAGCTACACATTTCAACAAACACCGCTGACCCCTACCTTCTCCTGCACTTCGACACTGCGGCTGGAGACTAAGTCCCGTTCGAAGATTCGAACGCTCGTTCGAATGGGACTTAGTCATTTTTTCACAGCCCAAATCCATGGAACTGTTTTGGGCATGAAAATAAAGGTCATAAAAGGACTTCCAGCTAACGTTTTAAGTACTGGACAGATTTGGCAGAATTTTGGTTATGTTTATATTTAAAGTATGCTGGTTCTGAAAATGTGAAGATTGGATGTATATTTTTAAAGTTACAGTGTATGTGTAAAAAGTATATTTGTCCTGCCTGTGATAATTACATTAACCCATTGTGTGCAGTAATTATATCACAGGCAGTGGGGAGGATTTTGTGGGAGTGAATGGGTGTGGTTTTACTGTATGTTATGCGCGGTACTGTATCTGTAAAACCTGCATAAAAGAAGGCCCTTTGGTGCCAAGTAAAACAGATCTTCTTGACCCTCAAAACGTAGTCTTGTCTCGTGATTGGAGGGAACTGCTATAATCACACTGGGGATTGCTATGCTCTGCATACTCCCTTGAGCTTTAAATCACTTAGCTCTTTTAAGAGCTTGTTCCTGATAGGAGAGGTCTTCCCCACACAGTCCTGGAGGACAGAAGCTGATCCAGGGTGGAAGGAAGACGGCTAGACTCATGTTAAGCTATGGCGGTTGTGGAGTCTGCGGTGGTTGTGGTGTCCGGTGCGTTGCTTGTGGTCCTCGGCGCAGGCTAGGAAGCGTCCATCAACGGAAGGTACTCGGTCGGAGTACGGGGAGTTCCGTTACATACCTGTACCTATTAATTATACTCCTGTTCTATTTGCGAAAAATGCAGAGCTAATAAGTCCCTCTCTTCAACAGCGCATTCATTGCTCTTGCCAATGGTGCTCTCTCTCCGCATTCTGATCATATGGTATTGCTGCACACATTATCTAACTGTCATTGGTAGCACCTTAACAACAGAAGAAACAGTTACCATGCACCTTTTTTTACCATGCATTGACATACTGTTGTATAGTTAGCCTACCGTAACTAAGTGTTGTAAAAACCAGAGTAAAAACTGAAAAATCTGACACTGGTCAAAAAAATAAAAACACTCTTTAATATAACAACTCATGGAAACATAGAAACATAGAATGTGATGGCAGAAAAGAACCACTTGGTCCATCTAGTCTGCCCAATTTTCTAAATACTTTCATTAGTCCCTGGCGTTATCTTATATCTAGGATAGCCTTATGCCTATCCCACGCATGCTTAAACTCCCTCACTGTATTAACCTCTACCACTTCAGCTGGAAGGCCATTCCATGCATCCACTACCCTCTCAGTAAAGTAATACTTCCTGATATTATTTTTAAACCTTTGCCCCTCTAATTTAAGACTATGTCCTCTTGTTGTGATAGTTTTTCTTCTTTTAAATATAGTCTCCTCCTTTACTGTGTTGATTCCCTTTATATATTTAAATGTTTCTATCATATCCCCCCTGTCTTGTCTTTCCTCCAAGCTATACATGTTAAGACCCTTTAACCTTTCCTTGTAAGTTTTATCCTGCAATCCATGAACCAGTTTAGTAGTAATTCTCTGAACTCTCTCTAAAGTATCAATATCCTTCTGGAGATACGGTCTCCAATACCGCGTACAATACTCCATGTGAGGTCTCACCAGTGTTCTGTACAATGGCATGAGCACTTCTCTCTTTCTACTGCTAATACCTCTCTGTATACAACCAAGCATTCTGCTAGCATTTCCTGCTGCTCCATTACATTGTCTGCCTACCTTTAAGTCATCTGAAATAATTACCCCTAAATCCCTTTCGTCAGATGTTGAGGTTAGGACTTTATCATATACTCTGTACTCTGCCCTTGGGTTTTTACGTCCAAGATGCATTATCTAGCACTTATCTACATTACATTTCTGCTGCCACAACTCTGACCATTTTTCTAGTTTACCTAAATCATTTGCCATTTGGCTTATCCCTCCAGAAACATCAACCCTGTTACATATCTTAATATCATCAGCAAAAAGACATGCTTTACCCTCAAGACCTTCTGCAATATCACTAATAAAAATATTAATGAAAATGCATCCGAGTACAGATCCCTGAGGTACCCCACTGGTGACAAGACCATGCTTTGAATATACTCCATTGACTACAACCCTCTGTTGCATCTCACTCAGTAACTGCCTTACCCATTCAACAATATTGGAATCCAAACTTAAAGATTGCAGTTTATTGATAAGCCTTCTATGTGCAACAATGTCAAAAGTCTTATTGAAATCTAGGTAAGCAATGTCTACTGCACCACCCTGATCTATTATTTTAGTTACCCAATCAAAAAAATCAATAGGATTAGTTTGGCATGATCTCCCTGAAGTAAACCCATGTTGTCTCTGATCTTGAAATCCATGTGTTTTTAGATGTTCAACAATCCTATCCTTTAACATGGTTTCCGTTACTTTCCCCACTACTGAAGTAAGGCTTACTGGCCTATAGTTGCTAACATTTGCTAACTGCCGATCTTCTGCTACTACTCCTGTTAACAATGATTGCTTAAATAAATCCATTAATGGTTTTGCTAGTACACCACTAAGTTTTTTTAATAACTTTGGGTGTACTCCACCAGGCCCCATTGACTTAGCTGTCTTTACTTTTGACAGTTGAAATAGAACCTCTTCCTCTGTAAACTCACATTTAACAAATTAATTTGTCTTTTTTCCTAACTGAGGCCCGTTACCTTCATTTTCATCTGTAAATACTGAACAAAAATATTAATTGATGCAGTCAGATAGACCTTTATCCTCTTCTACATACCTTCCTGCTTTTGTTTGTAATCTAACTAATCCTTGTTTTACTTTCCTTTCCTCATTTATGTATCTAAAAAACGTTTTGTCCCCTTTTTTTACTGACTGTGCTATTTTCTCTTCTGTGTGTGATTTGGAAGTTCTTATAACTTGCTTAGCCTCTTTCTGCATAATCTTACAGATCTGTCTTCATCACTCTGAGTTTTTTTTATAATTACTAAATGCTAACTTTTAGTTTTTTACTATTTTGGCCACATTTGCGGAGTACCACAGTGGTTTCTTAAATTTTTTGCTTTTACTGACAAGTCTAATGCAATTTTCTGTTGCCTTCAGCAGTGCAACTTGTAAATACTCTCATTTCTCTTGGACTCCATTTAAACTGCTCCAGTCTGATAATGACTCCTTTACACATATTCTAATTTTAGAAAAGTCTGTTTTTCTAAAATCTAAAACTTTTGTTTTTGTGTGGTGTGACTCAGTCACTGTTCTTATATTAAACCACACTGATTGATGATCACTGGATCCTAAACTTTCACCTACAGTAATATCTGATACCAAATCTCCATTTGTTAACACTAAATCTAGTATGGCCTCTTTACGAGTTGGCTCCTTAAAGTCTTGTTTTAGAGAGATTCCCAGTAGGGAGTTTAGAATATGTGTGCTCCTGGCACAAGCAGCTATTTTGGTTTTCAAATTCACATCAGAAAATATTAAAGTCACCCATGATGATAACATGGCCCTTCATTGTCATTGTAGCTATTTCCTCAACTACCGTGTTTCCCCGAAAATACACCCTACCCCAAAAATAAGCCCTAGCTGGATTATCGGGGTGGGCTGCAATATAAGCCCTACCCCGATAATAAGACCTAGCTTTAAATGCCTCAGCCGCCTGAGCGCTCTATAGAGAGCGCTCAGATGGCTGCCGCACTGCCTCACCTTCCCTTAGCGTGGCCGAGCTCCTCCCGGTCCGCGACCCGCCCGGACTGACAGGAAGTGCACACTGGGTGCACTTCCTGTCAGTCCGGCGGGTCGCGGACCGGAGAGGAGCTCGGCCACGCTACAGGGAGGTGAGGAGAAGATTGGAGGGAGGGGGGGGAGTATTACAGGGAGGGAGGGAGGGGGAGAATATTACAGGGAGGGAGGGGAGAATATTACAGGGGGGATAATATTACAGGGAGGGATGGGGAGAGTATTACAGGGAGGGAGGGGTAATATTACAGGGAGGGGAGGGGGGGGATACATACAGGGAGGGAGGGGGGAGAGTATTACAGGGAGGCAGGGGGGGATAATATTACAGGGAGGGAGGGGGAGATAATATTACAGGGAGGGAGGGGAGAGTATTACAGGGAGGGAGGGGAGAATATTACAGGGAGGGAGGGGGGAGAGTATTACAGGGAGGGAGGGGAGAATATTACAGGGAGGGAGGGGGAGAGTATTACAGGGAGGGAGGGGAGAGTATTACAGGGGAGTGGGAGGGGTAATATTACAGGGAGGGAGGGGGGATAATATTACAGGGAGGGGAGAGGAGGGGGAGAGTATTACAGGGAGGGAGGGGGGAGAGTATAACAGGGAGGGAGGGGGGAATATTACAGGGAGGGAGGGGGGATAATATTACAGAGAGGGAGGGGAGAGTATTACAGGAGGGAGGGGGGGATAATACAGGGAGGGAGAGTATTACAGGGAGGGAGGGGGTAATATTACAGGGAGGGAGGGAGGGGAGAATATTACAGAGAGGGGGAGGTGAGGGTCTCTGGGGGGGGTTACACAGTGCGGACACCAGCTGACAGACTGGCTCTAAGCCCTACCCTGAAAATAAGCCCTAGTGTGTTTTTTGTGATTAAAATTAATATAAGACCCGGTCTTATTTTCAGAGAAACACGGTAGTAGATTATCTAACTGTTCTATTTGTCCTGGGGGCCTATAAGTCACACCTACACTAAAATTACACCAAATTCTAAAGTAACCCAAACAGACTCTATGTTCGCCTCACTAACTTTTATTAGGCTAAATTGTATGCTATCCTTCACATACAGGGCCACCCCTCCCCCTTTCTTGCCTTCCCTGTCTTTTCTATATAAAGAGTACCCTATTGCTATGTCCCAGTCATTTTTCTCATTATACCATGTCTCAGTAACAGCGACTAAATCTACATTATCAGTTGCCATTATTGCCACAAGTTCATGGATCTTATTCCCTAAACTGCGAGCATTTGTAGACATGACTCTAAGCTTTTCATTTTATAACACACTCGCTAAAGGCACCATTTGTCCTTGTTTTGGGGGGCAATAGGATTGATGTTTTATCACCCTTTTGCCCCCCCTCCTAGTTTAAATACATGCTAGAAAAACCTCTGAACTGCTCACTGAGAACATTTGTTCCCTTTTGAGAAATATGCAAACTATCTTTTTTGTACAGTTTATTTCCATTCCAAACAGAGCTACCATGAGAAATGAAGCCAAATCCTTGCTCTTGACACCATTCACCAAGCCACAAATTAAAGTCCCTAATACGCATCCGCCTGTCGTTCTGAGTGTTATGCACAGGCAGAACTTCAGAGAATGACAGTGTGGAAGCAACCTGCTGTATATCATTGGCAAAAACACAAAAAACTTCCTTTACCTCTGAAACCTCATTGCAAGCCAAGTAATTTGTCCCTAGATGGACAAGTACATCCAATTCCCCTTCCTGCTTTGCTCGCTTAACAATATTACAAATACGTCTCCTGTCTCTGCGAGCAGTAGCTCCAGAAAGACATCTCACAAGACCACTATTGTCCAGCTCCACGCATTTCATCTGGATTCAGGCAGCACAATGTCTTGAGCCAGGCCTGATTTATACACAGACACTAATTACATAGTTACATAGTTACATAGCTGAAAAGAGACCATCAAGTTCAGCCTTCCTCACGTATGTTTTTGCTGTTGATCCAAAAGAAGGCAAAAAATCTAGTCTGAAGCGCTTTCAATTTTGCAACAAACTAGGAAAAAATTCCTTCTTGACCCCAATATAGCAGTCAGATGTCTCCTTGGATCAAGCAGCTTTTACCCAACTAATAAAAATGTTTATCCCGGTATGTTATGTTTTTGCAAGTATTTATCCAATTGCAGTTTAAACATATGTATGAACTCTGATAAAAAAACACCTCTTCAGGCAGAGAATTCCATATCCTTATTGCTCTTACTGTAAAAAATATATATTTTCTTTGCCTGAGAGGAAATCTTTCTTCCATCCTTCTTTAGAACAGGTTTTCAAAATTACAATTTAAAAAGCCACAGGTGTGGGAAATGAACCTTTAATTGCCATTTTAACCTGTGTGTGTCACCTTGTGTGTCTGTCACAAGACCAAACATTCAAGGGTATGCAAACTTTTGATTAGGGCAATTTGGGCGAGTTATGTTATCATTATGATTTTAAAAAGGAGCCAAACAACTATGTGATAATAAATGGCTTCATATGATCACTATCCTTCAATAAAAGACATTTTTTTGGCATGATCAGTCATATTTTCAAAGCCAGTGCCAAAATTTCACAATTTCTGCTGGGGTATGCAAACTTTTGAGCACAACTGTACATGTTATAATTGTTATAGTTTCAGAAACCCTCCTGTTAGCTTACCTTTTGTGTCCAGGAAGGTGGCTTGCTTGGGATCCTAGTGCAGCAGCTCACTCCCTATGCTGCCTGAGGTGACGCCACTGCCCCTAGGCTCCTTCTCCCTCCACTCCCATGCAGTGCTCTGATTGAAGCTAGGAGGAAGTGGTTGTCTGTCACTTCCTCCCAGCCGAACAATACTGCAGGGAACTGATCATGCTCTAAATCTCTAAAAGTGCCACGGCACCCAACCAGGCCCCTGTTCAGCAATAATACCCATCGGATGGCCCACAAATCATATACAATATCTTGGAAATCACAAACAATCTGACATACATATATTGCGGGCATCAGGGAGCCGTTAGAAAAATGAGGGAGACTCCCGGACCTCTTTTTCATGCCACAGTTGGTAAACAAACACATTAACTTTCCCACATTTGATGTGTTTTTTTGCATTCTTGAAATGCTCATGTAACAGATCCTATCTTTTTACTTACCTGCCTGAAATCATGAGGCTTTGAGTCTTTGAATTGTTCTTTGGGGTACTTGCCACATTTGACATACCACAATTTAGCCTCAAATTCTCCAATGTTTTTAAATCGTGTTAGGAATTTGGAAGACTCTTTGTCCATTATTCTAGGAAGACGGTCAACTGATTGTAGTGTATTGACTTGATTATAAATCTCAGTTTTATTTTTGATATTTTTTTTCACTCTTTTTTCACGTTCCTTTGGTTTCTTTGGCAAATTCAAAGATGTATAAAGCTTAACACTAAAATCAGGGGGTGGTTTCCGCCAAATATCATGTTCTGGTACAAGCCTTGGTTTCACAAAACTTTCACTCCGTTCATTTGCCAAATTTTCATTTGCAATAAATTCCATTTGCCTTCTAAAAAACCACTGATTTCCATTTTCAGGGTGGCATTTAATAGTGTCAGACATTTTTGTTTTATAATTTGAATCGCCTGTTTAGAAAAAAAATGGCATTTTGATTTGCGAGTAAAATAAATGCAGTACGCTTTTGTATTGATTCAACATATAAAAATAATTACAAGCATTCACTACAAGGAACATTTATCATGGCATAGCAAGTAGGCAGAAAAGGCAGCCACCTATGGGCACCTATCTGCTAGAGATGCTCCCCTTAGTACAAATGTATGTTTTTCTTTTCCTTTTTAGATATGTTTTGATATGCTTTTTATTTTACAACGTGGTAACTGCATTTTTTTTAATGGTGGAGAGAGTGATTGAGAGATGTACTTTTTGATTCTCTTTTGCTCACTCTAAATCGCAGAGCAGACAACAAAGATTTGTTTGTTGTACCTACAAATTCTACATCTGCATGCACTGTAGACAGAAATTTGGCCTCACAACAAAGCAATTGAGGGGTAAATTAATTTCCCTTGTATATACCAGAAATGCACCACTTTATCTTGCATTTCTCTTAGCACTAATAAGCATTAAGAAATTTGGAATGTAACCTTTTTTGTCAAACAATGCCTAAACACATCTTGATGCTGTGTCGTGTTTCTTTATAAATTATGACATCTAATCACTAGATATAGAGGTGTGGTGAGTTGACAACCTAAGTGCAAAATATAGGTCAAAATAAATGAATTGGAAAAATTTTCCAGCTCAAGAATAATTTAATCACCACAATTCACTGTTTTAGAAAATAGGCATTAAATATTTACAGTATTGCTTTATTAGCATCACAGGGGTGATTTATAAAAGTGGCTGTTTTTACTTCAACATTTTTTTAACTGATATAGAAAAATGGAGCTGACGACTTATAAGGAAGAAGTGCAAGAGTGAACCACAGCTCTATCATCTTTAGACAGCACCTGTCCTTAGCAACTTTTAAACAGTCACAAACAGTGCATATAATATAAGAAATATATTTTCCCATGATTCAACTCTTGCAATGAGCCAGTGTCAGAGTAAAAACTATTATTGCTTTCATGAGTTTTTCAGTCTTGAAAAGAAGAATCAAATGAAAATTAAATAAGTCAATTTAAATGGCGGTGTTACACGCACATACAAATATTACAGGTTTCAAGAATTAAAAGTTGTATTTCTTAAACTGTGTACTTGTCTTTAAGAGATTTTGCAAACTGGCAAGTTGTTAGAAATGGAACATATTTATTCTCATAGAATGTTTCTTTAATAAATGACCTCTTACCCATGGTCAGTGAATAAGATGTTTGAACTTTAAGACGCCATCTTGTCCTAGGTTAGTGTGATACCAAGTCAGGGCATTGCCTACGTCATGTCCGACCTTAAATTGTGTTCTAAACATAGATAAGATGTCTAGGTCATGATAATAGACTGATTAAGATGTTCCCATGTGAAATGAATAAGCCAAGGCTATGTCATTTTATGCTCATGGCCTCTTCTCTTTGCCAAGTTAAGGTTGGTCCTAACATGACCAAATTAAAATCTAAGGTATAAATAAGTCTACTTATTAATATTAGGACACAAAGGAGAGAATTTTGGATGCAGAGACACTGCTCCATTTTATCATGACTGAGAGGTTGACTTGTTCAAGGGAGTATGTTTTATTCTATTTTATTGATAAACTTATGAACTGTGCTATACATTATTATAATGCATTATCATGTTTTTATATGTCTATATTTATATTTAATATAATATTTAAAAAGACAAAACTTTATTGCTTTCAAAACAATCCCTATTTGTATTGTATTATCAATTATGTATATATTTTAAATAGAGGAACGCTTTCCAACTATATAATATTATAGCTGAGATATTTGTATGGTAAGCTCTGCAAAATTCTACGCTTTAAGACTTTATAGCGGTAAATAGGGGAACCAGCTGTGGTTACAGCAAACTTGAACTTCCCCATTCAATCAATGAATGTAAAATGGACCAATACACACTGCTGTAATCTATTTTTGACTGAAGTTTACAATGCCCAACAACTCCAAGCTTAGGACTCGATTCAATCCTGACAGAGAAAATATTCCAAATTATTTATCTACAAGAGTTATTATTAAAGTCTATGGGAATTCAAGTAAAAACGTAATTTGAAAAAAAAAATGTTTTTCTAACAGCATTGGATCATTCGGAAAAGTTTATTAAATTAAGATCTTAGTGAATAACCTTGTATTGGTATTATTTAGTCAGGTGGAATTTATTTATTTAATTGTCTAGCTTATTTTAATCTAAAATTTCTAATCTCTTTGTCGGTTCACCACAATTTTTTCTCTACAGAATAACCCTTTATTAAATATGGAAAACAGTCATTTTTAGATAGTTTAAAATAGAATTAAAAGTGTCAAGTGCTGTGAAAAGCAATAGTACAAGCAGTGTCTTACTGGTTCTTGGCATTCACTGGCAGACTTCACACACTCTAATAATACATTAACTAATCAACAGGCTAATGATATTGAATTATCAAGTTAAACTTTCACTTCTGTTACTTACCTCTTAGAAAGAAAAATCAGACATTGATGTTTCTGGTAGGTCCTGTTTCATAGAAGTAAAGATCTGAAAATTGTTTAAAAAATGGCACTTGCTTATCCTCCTCTTCCTGCTTTTTTAACAAAGTGGCTAAAGGGACTTTCTCTTGAAAACTGAGTTGCTAGGATACAAGTCTATTCTTCTGGTCTGCTATTCACAAAAGGAGACTGGAAATGGTAGCTGTGTTGACAGTGAAACTGCATTGACTGAGCCCTAGCAACAAACAAAGATTATTGTTTCAGACATTAGACTGTACATAAATTACACAGACAAACAATGCAGAGAGTGAAAGCACTAAGTAGGTTAAAGATTGTATCGAGTAAATGCAGGGTTATCCATTAATTGTATGGAATTGAATAAGGAATTTCTAATGTCAAATCAAAATAACAAAGCTGAATAGAATCTTCACCTCATTTTTCAGCTCTTTTGATTTAAAATTTTAAATTCCCTAGTCAATGCCTTACATGTCTCAGTTTAGTGAATAACTGATTGGTTTATTCACTTAACATTGTGGCAAACTGGGATTTTGTTTTGAATTAAATTGGAGTGAATTGAAAACCAATTTGCAAATTTGAGTGGCGTTCCTGCCCCATTTAAAAGCAGGTACTGGGATGCTGTCAGGGTGCACCAGTGGCAATTCAACCGTGCAGAAGGCTGAAGCCAATCAGACGAGAGAAACGTCTTTGTTATATCATTCCGTATAACTGCTTAGAGGTTTGACTAGTTTAATGAAGTTAGAAAACAAGAAGTTGGGGTGTGGGAGCTGCACCATTACAATCCATTTAAACACTAAAATAAGCTACATTAACTATGGGTCTTAAAGGAACACTCTAATCTTCCAGCATGCTGTAGTGGTTATAGTGCCAGGAGTGTTCTGGTGCCATGCCACAAAGTTGTCAAAACTGTTTAAAATTGGTTTGACAAACTATCTGGGGTCTGCTGGGCACCCAATGCATCCTCTTCTGAATTCAGAACGTTGAGATCCTACACTGAGCTAAAACCAGAGTTGCACGGCCATTTTCATTGGCTCAGAGTGCACAGCTGAAGCTCTAGATGTCAGTGCTTATCTCAGTTAAGCTAACTGAAGCTCTTCAAATAAGTTTCTGGGCTCCAGGGTGGGCAGCAATAGGCACCTAGCGGACCAGGTAAATTTGCTAAACTTCCCTAAAACAGTTTGATCACTTACTGTGGGAGGACACCCCTGGCACCATAACCATTACAGTGCTCTGAGTTTTTTTTTTTTTTTTATATATATATAAACATTCTGGGTAGGTTCTATCAATGCATCAGTCAATGCATCTCTATGAGGAAAGTTCAGTGTCTGCATGCAGAGGGTGGAGGGTTCTGCTCACTATGCAGCACTGCCCCAGGGAGCCTCTTTAGTAGCCATCTGAGGAGTGACCAGTGAAGTTATCACTAGGCTGTAATGTATTTGAAAAATGTATGGAACTGCACTCACTCCCATCTGTCAGAGCCAGGGTGCTTACTATACCGGAACCAAACACCAGATTCCCAGGATCAATTAAATAAAATAGAAGGGGTCCAGGCACTCCTTGGTTCAATATAGGCACTTTAAAGTGCCTATATTGAACCAAGGAGTGCCTGGATCCACTTTAAAGTGCCTATATTGAACCAAGGAGTGCCTGGATCCACTTTAAAGTGCCTATATTGAACCAAGGAGTGCCTGGACCCCTTTTATTCTATTAAATTTAGGCTGTAATGTAAACACTGCATTTTCTCTGAAAAGACAGTGTTTACAGCAAAAAGCCTGAAGGGAATGATTCTTCTCACAGAACAGAGGCAAGAACACTTCACACAATTTCCCCAGAACTATACACTTTTTGTTTTTACTGTGTATTAGTTGCTGTGACTTGTTTCATTTATGGCTTGTGTATTCTGTCTCTTTATTTAGCTAGTTTATAAGGTTAGGTTGGTTGTCTAAGCTGACACACTCTCCCTGTCTGTCAGTCAGACAACCGGTGCTGTTACTTTATGGTTACAGCACCGGTAAAAAGGTAGGAAAATAGCCCAGAGCACATTACTTGCAAAGACTTCTTATTGAGCTGCATTAGGAAGTCTGTGATTGGACAGTTACAGAAAGTCTGTGTTGAGAAAAAAGGGAGGGCTCCAGACAAGAGATTTGCAAGTTGTGTTCAGTTATAACTCTGATTTAAAAAAAAACAACAATTAAATGCATGCATGTTATCACTGAGGGTATATCTACTAAATATTTTAATTTTTTTATTTTGGGCAGTTGCGTGTCCTTTTAAGTTGTAATTATCTTCTTTTTTGATCATCCTTAGCAATTATTTGTGTTTCTGGTATATACATGTTCTATATTAATTTACAACATTCAAGAGGACTTTTACATGTAATAATACAATTTACATTTAATTAACTTATTTTTGATCCTCAGCAATTATACACCTCTCTGAAACTGCTATGTTTTCAGGTGTAGGGTTAAAACTAGAGGGAGCTGGCACCCAGACCACTTTATTGAGCTGAAGTGGTATGGGTGCCTATAGTAGTCCTTTAAACATTCACAAGGACTTTTACATGTAATAATACAATTTACATTTAATTAACTTATTTTTGATCCTCAGCAATAATTTTTTGTTTTGGTGTCTACTTCATTAAGGATTACCTCCATTCATAGAGTGATTATGGAGTGTTGGTATTGTTACCATAGAAACATGTACTGCACTCTTCAGTATTAAACAGGCAAAGTGCAACTGTAATGCATTAATATGGAATTTAAACTCTAAGCAGATAATTGCAGTCAACAAAAAAGTAAATCACAAAATGAATGCAAAAATAACTATTTTCTATAGATATTTAAATTTATATTATGTTTTACACATGACAAATATTTAATGAGAACAGTGATGGTAAAGAAAGTCAGTCAATGATTTACAATGCTAGTTTTGTAGTAACTTAGATAAACAAATTAAAGATATACATGTAAAGAATATATTATTCATTCAATATATCGAATTGAAACTTGAAACGCAAGCTAAAATAAGTGAGCTGGAAACTTTCTCAACTCGGCTCTGTTGCTCTTTTTTGTCTGAATTTTGCAATTTGCATCCACTTATAATAGAGATTGTACACTAGATGGCAGTATAACAGCAAGTGTAAAAAAAAACAACAAACAAAACAGAAAACCAAAATGTTGATAGATGCTGATAGATGCTTTAAAAAAATAAAAATATATATATATGTGTGTGTGTGTGTGTATATATATATATATATATATATATATATATACATATATATATATATATATATATATAAAAAAAAAATGAGAAAGGTGTGAACTCACTACCCATTTTTGAGGCTGCATCCCATTCTTATTTAGAATCATGGGAATTTTCAAAAAAATTACAGTTGTTGTTTTTTTTGCTGTAATGAAGGATAAAGTGTAGACCACGAACAGCCCTCCATTTGCAGCCATTATTATCCAACTAGCAATGAAATGTCACTCTGTTCTCTTTGATGTTAAGGTGCCTGCAGTAGATACGAGGTTATCACATCTCATGTAGTGGGTATTTTCACTGTCATGAGTTGTATCTCACAGAAGGCTGCCTGCCAGCATAGAAAAAGAATTCATTAAAAACTCTGAAAACCTGTCAAGTGAACCAATTACTAATTTTGTAATTTAATATCAGCCCCAATGACACAAGTCTTATTTCTTTCAATATTTCTGGGTCTTCAAATCGATCTTAATCTTCCTACATGTTTCTTTGTTAGAGTTTTTTGGAAGTGCATTTACTCAAATATTATAAACAGTCTATTATCGTTCTCCTTTTGATTGTGATAATTCAAGTTAATGATGCATACTCTAAACAGCATATCTAGCAGCAAGTCATCCATTCCGAGAGAACTATTTAAAGTAATCAAATGTCAATTAATCTGGAAAGCATTAGAAATCTCAGGATCAGACATAAAACAGCATGATATCCATACAAGTAGTTCAATTAGATTCTACGTTTTTGTTGTTTTCATTTCCAGAGATAAAAAGCAAAGTAGTTAACCAACAACCGAGAAAAACAACATACCAATGAGATCATTTTTATGTTGCCACTTTGTGTAAATTCTGTAACTACAGAATCCGCTTAAAGGGGAACTGTCTCTTTGTAGGAATTATTAATATTATGTTTGCTTATTAATATTTGTAACAAACATGTATTTGTGATGTGTAAAAGATAAAATTAAATGAAGGAAACAAAATATTTTTATTATGCAACTTTATTAACTTCTCTTTAACTCTAAATCAAATCACCCTAAACACTCAAGCATTTATTTCCTCTAAACATCCTATGTAATCTAACTCTGATGTTAACCCTTCTAAAACCATAACCGCCCCTTTATCCTACATCTTCCAACATTTTTTTTATACTTTTTTGCATTTACACAGCTGCATCCACTCACTATACTTACAGATTCAAAAACAATACATTATAAGCATGAATAAGCACATATATATTTGCATATGCAGTTGTCAAACCTCAATATATACATTTGTAGACATTTTATCGCTGAAGAAAAAGGATGTGCTATGGCTTAAAAAGCGAAGGCCCCAATAGTCAGGCAGATATTACTAGACCAGGGGTTCTCAACCCAGTCCTCAAGTACCCCCTATCAGTCCAGGATTTAGGGATTATCCAGTTGTGTCTAAGGTGTTTTTAGAGGGGAAAAAAACACAGTACAGGGTAATCCCTAAATTCTGGACTGGTAAGGGGTACTTGAGGACTGGGTTGGGAACCCCTGCACTAAATGTACCCTGAGCTTAACCCTCCAAAAACATATAAATAAAAAAGTAGACCTCACTAATGGGAGCACTCCGTATGCCAGTGAGTTATACCTTCCTAAATCCAATTAATTAAAAGTAATAATAAATATAGATATATATTTTTTTATTGTAATACACAAATGTATGCACAAACATCCATAAAGACATCAAAAAAGAAAGATACAAACATACAAATAGACACATAATTATTTTACAATACACTTAGACAAGTAGGCTTAAAGGAGCACTATAGTCCCAGGAAAGCTCTCAGGGCCCTCCTTCCACTGGTATGAACAGGTTAAAACCCCTTCAGCCACTTACCTTTCTCCAGTGCCGGGCTCCCTCTGTGCTGGGACACAC